CCTGCTGATGCTGTCTTTGACTCTTAAGTCACTTAAATCCTTGTCTGATTAGCTTTACCCCCTGAGGATTCATAGCGTACTGCTTTTACCAAGTTAAGGTACCATTAGTTGTTGATGCAGTGCATACCCACTCTTAAACTAGAGGATCAGCCTGTTGCTTCTACCAATGCTGTTCTCAGCCTTGGGTCATTTAGGTCTCCTTAGGCAGCAAAGACTTTCCTTTGGCACCCAGTTTTCCAACTGTTTTTCTATTGAATTTGGAAGCATTCTGACAAGTTTTCTGCTCTATCAAAGCACCTGTTAGCTTTGATAGAGCAGAAAACTTTGGATCCAGCCTTGTCCCACCTTAACAAAGCAACTATCATACCGTGGAGGATGCAATTTTTTCCTTTAAAGACCCAACCAATAAGCAGTTAGAGATCCTGAGTTCTTTTCTTCCTGGCAGGTCCCATCCTGGGACCAATTTTGGCTATGCTTTCTTTTCTGTCAAACAACTTCAGACTGGCCAAAGATCTAATAACCACCAAGGTGGATATCTTGATTGTTGAACATATGAAGCAGATAGCTATAGCATTTTTTGTGCTATGAATGTTTACTGAAAACCCTCCCTTAAGGTTCCTGACTGTTCCTCCTATTGGTGTATATGCACAGGGCAAAGTGTTGGACTGCAGAACTCTTGAAAGAAACCTTTTGATTTTTGTGGATTCCAAGGGACAATGCCTCTTTGGACCACCTCTTGATTAAATCATTAAGGTTGCCACAAATGGCAGAAGCACCAATCTTCCCCAGTGGAAGAAGTTTAAGGAACATACTGCAAAGTCCTCTCCTTCTCTGACCTTCAAAATCCATCCTTTTGTTTCTCCACTCCCTTGATTTTAGCCTTCCAGGCTTGGCTTCCACAAGCCCCAAAATATTGCATTTCAAGTCTGCCAAATCCTTCAGAAAAGCCTTCCTCTGCATGAAGTTGAACTTCCACTTTCTAGAGTGGGGGATGTCTGAACTTTGCAGACATTTTGACAGCTTGTATTGCAGATGCGTGGATGCAAGAGGTGGTGTTCCAGGGCTGTAAAGTCAAGTTTTGTTTCTTGCCCCTCCTTGTTTTCACACTCCCAATCTTCCTGTGTTTCTGCACAAACTATCGGATCTCTGCTGGGCCCTCTAAGGCCTTCTGAGTCAGGATATCATTTGCCCAATCTTTGCTACAGAATGGTTTCAGGATTTCTACTCCATCCTGCTTACTGTTTCAAAAACCCATAGACGGTGCATTCAGACCACCATTTTGTTTACCAAGGTGCTAGACCCTTGTTGCATTCATATGACAACCCCATTGTGGGATACTTGGACAACCTCCTGTTGAGGGAACAGTCAGTGAGGGCTCTTTTTGAGGTTTGGGTGGATCATGAACCTTCAGAAATCATTGCTGAAATCAACATATAGCTTGGAATGTCGGGGTCTGTTCCTTGATTCATCCCAGGCCAGTGTTCCTTTTCCAGAAGAAGCTTCAGACTCTCTAGGCTCAGATTTGAATTCTTCAGTTCAGAAGCTGTCAAGCCTCTGTGTGAGTGTCTTGAGGCTGATGGTAACCTTTAAGGCAGTTTTATTTGTCTAATTCTTTGGCAATGCAATGTTCTTTCATCATGGGACAAATTTTACTCTCTCTCTGTACAGGCAGACATCGGGTACTATACTGTCCCTGGCTTGGTAGCTCAGAGTCTTGCTCTGGAGTTGGGGGAAGTCTTTCTTCTTACTACTGACACCATCCTGTAAGGCTAGGAGGGGGGAGTCCTGGGAACCTTGTCAGTGGCTGGGGTCTTCATAGGAGATCTATAAATATTTTTAAATGTCTTTGAGTTTGGGCATCGCTAAAGTCGAATCTGACTCAAGTCCTGAGGAAGGAGGTAGTGTGTGTGCGCGAGCCCCAAACACTTTTTTTTTTTTTTTTTTTAATTACTGATCATCCAATAAACTATCTTTCTACACTCTACTACCACTGGTTTGGTGGCCTTATTGTGTTTTGTATATTTGGATTTCACTTAAACCTGGATATTGTTATCTGCCCCTTTTTGTGCAGCTCTGGTTCCTCAAAAAGAAAGACATTTACCTCCAATGTCTTGGTTTGGGTTTGTGTGTGTTTTATATTTCTGCGATTCCCCTTTTTTGTCATTCTGAATGGACCCTAGAATGGCACCTCAGCTCTTTGTTCCGTCATCTCTAGGTTGATTAGAAAGCTCATCAGTCAAGCTTATGGTCTCAAGGGTCAGGTTCCCACTTTCATCTTAAGGCTTACTCCACTAGATCTGTGAGTGCCTTTGGGCATTTTGGCATCAGGCATATGTTTTCCAGATTTGTATGTTTGCCATCTGGTCTCCGTAACATGTTCACTTACAGTGGAACCAAGTACTCCTGTCCTAGCTATGACACCAGGCATTTGAGGGTTTGATTGAGAGTGAATATAAGCACACTACCAACTGTACCAATTGCTATTCCAGGGATAGATTTAAAGTAACTATTTTGGGAAACTTTCAAAATAGTAGGTTTAGTTCCACTTTACATTCTACCAGGTAGATGTTTCTGCCTCTGTTGCCAGCTTCACTGAAACTAAACCAACTGGTTTAACTTTTTCTTAAAACAGTAACACTCAAGACATACAGTGAATAACTGTCAAGCCATCAAATGGCTTGTGCCGCAACTGATCACTTGTGCAGCACCATGGTAATTACAGTCAAATAGAGGCTAAGATGGCAGCTTAGTGTGGCTGTAGAGGATAAGGAGGCTTTAGTTCCACTTTTCAGGTAGCTCTTTGAGTTGCAGGAAGTCCCAAGGTCCTGTTTACATTTCGGCCGGTTTTGGACTGTTTGAAATGTTGCCCACTCCTCAGATGTCCCTTCCCCAATTCCTTTATATATTGGGCCTGTTAGTGGTTGTTCATATTTTGCCCAATGCTTAGATGACTTAAAGGTTTAAGATCCCCTCAATGAATGGGAAAAAAATTATTTTTTATGCACGCTAAAATCTTTTACGTAGAATCCATTAAGGAGTCCCACTCTTCTGTGTGTTTATCATCATGCTGTCTGTAAGGCTTTTCTCCAAACCTGAGGCTTGCTAATAGCAGAAGGGGTAATAGTCTAGGATGGTCTAGTTTTTTTTCTTCTTGCCATTATCCAATCATTCTGTATGTGGCTGTAAAACCCAAATGTTTTAAAGACTTTGCATATCTCGGTGGACTCCAAGAAAAGAATATATGGCTAAAATCCTATATCTTAATCTTACTTATACAGCATAGGTTTTAGGTGTGTACCTTCAGGTGATTGGACACCGGCAGAGCTTTAGAGGACATGCTCCTCTAGGGCTTTTTCCCTATAACCCTACCCCACTCTGTATTGCCTTTGTTTTTGTGCTAGTATGTCGTTAATGACGATTGGGTCAGTCTTGGGAGAGTTTTCACTCAACTAAAAGTCTTTGCTGAACTCTATTCCATAGATAGAAAATTTGACACACAACTAAAGGCTCTCTTTGACCACTTGTCTAACAAAGTAGGCCTCAAAACAGCATGGTAGAGAAAGGGTTAAGTCAAGCTAATAGCTGCAGCTGTGAGCTTGGTACCAGCTTTAAGAGCCGATGAAGGGCTTTCTGATAAAAAGTGATCCGGACAGCTCCAGAGCAGCCCAGTCACTTTTATGGGGCTCTCAAAATGCAACAAGAAATCCGGGGCACCCCCCTCTCCCCACCACCACCACACTCTTCACAGGTGGCATCCATAGTGGTTCCCGAGCTCTCCTGTTCCTTCTTCTGGGTGCTCTGACCATGGGAAACAGCTTTCACGGAGAAAGGAGGAGAAACTCCCCCTTTTGATAGCAACAAAGTAGCAAAAAAAATGTAAAAATGAGTTTAACAAAATATACACACACACACACACTATATTGCCAAAAGTATTGGGATGCCTGTCTTTACATGAACTTTAATGGCATCCCAGTCTTAGTCCGTAGGATTCAATATTGAGTTGGCTCACCCTTTTGCCACTATAACAGCTTCGACTCTTCTAGGAAGGCTGTCCACAAGGGTTAGGAGTGTGTCTATGGGAATGTTTGACTATTCTTCCAGAAGCGCATTTGTGCTTCTGGAATTCTCTGCTCTAATTCATGCCAAAGGTGTTCTATCGGGTTATAGTCAGGACAGGCCAGTCAAGTTCCTCCACCCCAAACTCGCTCATCCATTTCTTTATGGACCTTGCTTTGTGCACTGGTGCGCACTCATGTTGGAACAGGAAGGGGTCATCCCCAGATTGTTCCCACAAAGTTGGGAGCATGAAATTGTCCAAAATGTCTTGGTATGCTGATGCCTTCAGATTTCCCTTCACTGGAACTAAGGGGTCAAGCCCAACCCCTGAAAAACAACCCCACACCATAATCCCCCCTCCACCAAACTTTACACTTGGTACAGTGCAATTAGGCAAGTACTGTTCTCCCAGCAACTGCCAAACCCAGGCACATCCATCGGATTGCCAGACAGAAAAGTGTGATTTGTCACTCCAGAGAACATGTCTCCACTGCTCTAGAGTCCAGTGGCGGCATGCTTTACACCACTGTATCCGACCCTTTGCATTGCACTTGATGGTGTAAAGCTTGGATGCAGTTTCTCAGTCATGGAAACCCATTCCATGAAGCTCTTTACACACTGTTGTTGTGCTAATCTGAAGGCCACATGAAGTTTGGAGGTCTTTAGCTATTGACTCTGCAGACAGTTGGCAACTTCTGCGCACTGTGCGCGTCAGCATGCGCTGACCCCACTCTGTCATTTTACGTGGCCTACCACTTTGTGGCTGGGTTGTTGTTCCCTGTTGGAATATTTAGTAGCAAGGAAATTTCACAGATGGACTTATTGCACAGGGGGCAACCTATCACGGAACCACGCTTGAATTCACTGAGCTCCTGAGAGCTGCTCATTCTTTCACAAATGTTTGTAGAAGCAGTCTGCATGCCTAGTTGCCTGATTTTATACATCTGTGGTCATGGAGGTGATTGGAACACCTGAATGCAATGGTTGGAGGGGTGTCCCAATACCTTTGACAATATAGTGTTTGTGTGTGTGTGTATACACACACACACACACACACACACACACACACACACACACACACACACACACGTATTTGAACACCCTGCGATTTTGCAAGTTCTCCCACTTAGAAATCATGGAGGGGTCTGAAATTCACAATGTAGGTGCATTCCCACTCTGAGAGACAGAATTTAAAAAAAAAACATTTCAGGAAATCACATTGTATGATTTAAAGAATTTATTTGTCTTGCACTGCTGAACATAAGTATTTGAACACCTGAGAAAATCAGTGTTAATATTTGGTACAGAAGCCTTTGTTTGCAATTACAGAGGTCAAACGTTTCCTGTAGTTCTTGACCAGGTTTGCACACACTGCAACAGGGATTTTGTCTCACTCCTCCACACAGATCTCCTCTAGATCTGTCAGGTTTCGGGGCTGTCGCTGAGCAACACAGAGTTTCAGCTCCCTCCAAAGATGTTCTATTGGATTTAGGTCTGGAGACTAGGCCACTCCAGAACCTTGATATGCTTCTTTACGGAGCCGCTCCTTGGTTATCCTGGCTGTGTACTTCGGGTCGTTGTCATGTTGGAAGACCCAGCCATGACCCATCTTCAATGCTCTGACTGAGGGAAGGAGGCTGTTGCTCAAAATCTCACAATAAATGGCCCCATTAATCCTCTCCTTAATACAGTGCAGTCATCCTGCCCCCTTCTCAGAAAAGTTCCCCCAAAGCATGATGTTACCACCCCCATTCTTCACAGTAGGGATGGTGTTCTTGGGATGCAACTCATCCTTCTTTTTCCTCCAAACACGACGAGTGAAATTTAGGCCAAAAAGTTCTACTTTGGTCTCATCTGACCACATGACTTTCTCCCATGCCTCCTCTGGATCATCCAGATGGTCATTGGCAAACTTCAGACGGGCCTGGACATGTGATGACTTGAGCAGGGGAACCTTCTGTGCGCAATGCATGATTTGAAACCATGGCGGCGTAGTGTTCTACCGACAGTGACCTTTGAAACTGTGGTCCCAGAACTCCCTTGTAGTTCTGGGCTAATTCCTCACCTTTCTTATCATCAGTGATACCCCACGAGGTGAGATCTTGCATGGAGCCCCAGTCCGAGGGAGACTGACAGTCATCTTTAGCCTCTTCCATTTTCTAACAATTGCTCCAACAGTTGATCTATTTTCACCAAGCTGCTTGGCAATTGCCCCGTAGCCCTTTCCAGCCTTGTGGAGGTCCACAATTTTGTCTCTGGTGTCTTTTGACAGCTCTCTGGTCTTGCCCATGGTAGTAGTTGGCGTCTGACTGACTGTGGGGTGGACAGGTGTCTTTAAAGAGCTCAGACAGGTGCTACTAAGTTAGATTAATGAGTGGAGTAGAGGTGGACATTTTAAAGGCACAGCAACAGGTCTTTGAGAGACAGAATTCTTGCTGTTTCTTAGGTGTTCAAATACTTATGTTCAGCAGTGCAAGACAAATAAATTCTTTAAAAATCATACAATGTGATTTCCTGAATTTTTTTTTATAAAAATTCTGTCTCTCAGAGTGGGAATGCACCTACAATGTGAATTTCAGACCCCTCCATAATTTCTAAGTTGGACAACTTGCAAAATCGCAGGGTGTTCACATACTTCTGTTCCTCACTGTGTGTGTGTGTGTGTGTGTGTGTATATATATATATATATATATATATATATATAATTTAAAAATGATTTTAAAGCACCCCTGTACACTCCTCATATGAAACGTACAACCTAGGGCAAACGTGTATGTAAACACAATTGCACCACACGTATGAGGTATTGTTACGAACATGAAAAGTAAATGATAACCTGTAAAGGCTTTTAAAGTGTCACCTATGGCTGAATTTTGGGTAATGTCGTTTTTTGTGATTTCACAAGCGTGTGCAATTTTAAGGATGGATATGTTTGGATTGTGTCAAGTAAATACCTACCAATACTTTATATTTTACAAAAAAATTGGGTATAATACTGTGCTTTTGCACTAAAATTCATTATGGTGTATTTTTCCCTAAAAAATAGGAGTTTGCTAAATAGCTCAACACAAGTTAATCGATTGAACGACTTGTGTACAATCAGCCTGTCCCTACTGAACTGGCCAAATTTCGATCCATGTATAGCAGCTTAACATGTAATACTGTATACAAAAATAACATTGCAACTGAAAAAATATGTGACAAACCCTCCAAACGAATAACAAAAAATCAAGCGCAATAATAGTGTGTACCACCAAATATAAATGTGAATTACAAAACATAAAGCTCAGAGCATAACAATGCTGAAGCAACCATTGCAGTCCATGAATCCAATCCAATCTGTAAACATTCTGTGAAGGAATATGTGTCCGCAGAAAAGGCCATCACCTTTATTCCCTTTTGGGCATTCTATCACCTTGAAGTATGACCCTCATCATAATAAGGTCACATAAGCGCACATTCAGAACATAAATTCCCAGTTGGGCAGTGGTGGATGGAATGACAAAATATTAATCCTGGACCTTCCCACACAGGTGTCTTCAGCAAATTAACTCAAAAATCAGCCAAGCCAGTTCAAATAGATCACTACACTTCAATGACTTCGATTAATATTCGTATCCAGGCTCAACAAAAATGGACAGGAAAATATAGTGTGCACTGCTGAATACCTTTATTAAAGGAAAAGTTAAAACCGTACTCAATGAGATGAGAACCACATACAAATCCTGTGAAGCAGTGCTGCTGCATGTGTAGGTGTTGTGTGTCCTACTGGGTGGATGAGAACCAACAGCCTGCAGACAGCCTTCTCTTTCCTCACTCAAAGTTCCACCCAGGGCGGAAGAGCAATTGCTGTGCATGCACATCACAGGGGAAAATGTCTTTTTTTTTTTTTTTTCCCTGCTTGTCGTTCTGAGTGTGAACACAGTATGTACAGTGAAGGAAATAAGTATTTGATCCCCTGCTGATTTTGAATGTTTGCTAACTCACAAAGAAATGATCAGTCTAAAAATCGCATGGTAGGTGTATTGTAACACTGAGAGACAGAATAGCAACAAAAAAAATCAAAAGAAATTTTGCACTGATTTGCATGTTCATGAGGGAAATAAGTATTTGATCCCCTATCATTCAGCAGGATTTCTGGCTACCAGGTGTCTTTCATACAGGTAACAAGCTGAGATTAGAAGCAGTCTCTTAAAGGGAGTGCTGCTATTCTCATTTTGTTACCTGTAAAAAAGACACCTGTCCACAGGAGCAATCAATCAGATTCCAAACTCTCCACCATGGCAAAGACCAAAGAACTGTCCAAGGATGTCAGGGACAAGATTGTAGACCTACACAAGGCTGGACTGGGCTACCAAACTAGCGTCAAGCAGCTTGGTGAGAAGGTGACAACAGTTGGTGCAATCATTCGCAAATGGAAGAAACACAAAACAAATCTCAATCTCCCTAGGTCTGGTGCACCATGCAAGATCTCACCTCAAGGAGTGTCACTGATCATGAGAACAGTGAGGAATCATCCCAGAACTACGCGTGAGGATCTTGTCAATGATCTCCAGGCAGCTGGGACCACAGTCACCAAGAAAACAATTGTTAACACACTACGCCGACAAGGATTGAAATCCTGCAGTGCCCGCAAGGTCCCTCTGCTCAAGAAAACACATATCTAGGCCCATCTGAAGTTTGTCACTGAACGTCTGAATGATGCAGAGGAGGACTGGTTGAAAGTGTTGTGTGGTCAGATGCGACCAAAATTGAGCTCTTTGGCATCAACTCAAGTCACCGTGTTTGTGGGAGGAGGAATGCTGCCTATGAATCCAAGAACACCATCCCAACTGTCAAACATGGTGGTGGAAACATTCTGATTTGGGGGTGTTTTTCTGCTAAGGGGACAGGACAACTGCACCGCATCAGAGGAATGATGGCGGGGCAATGTACCGTCAAATCTTGGGTGAGAACCTTCTTTCCTCAGCCAGGGCATTGAAAATGGGTCGTGGATGGGTGTTCCAGCATGACAATGACCCAAAACACATGGTCAAAGCAACAAAGGAGTGGCTCAAGAAGAAGCACATTAAGGTCCAGGAGTGGCCTAGTCAGTCTCCAGACCTTAATCCGATTGAAAATCTGTGGAGGGAGCTTAAAGTTCGAGTTGCCAAACGTCAGCCACCAAACCTTAATGACTTGGAGAGGATCTGCCAAGAGGAGTGGGCCAAAATCCCTCCTGAGATGTGTGCAAACCTGGTGGCCAACTACAGGAAACGTCTGACCTCTGTGATTGCCAACAAGGGATTTGCCACCAAGTACTAAGTCATGTTTTGTGAAGGGGATCAAATACTTATTTCCCTTATGAACATGCAAATCAGTGCATAATTTGTTAGACGTGCATTTCTTTTGAATTTTTTGTTGCTATTCTGTCTCTCAGTGTTACAATACACCTACCATTCGATTTTTAGACTGATCATTTCTTTGTGAGTGGGCAAACATTCAAACTCAGCAGGGGATCAAATACTTATTTCCTACACTGTAAGTAAAAAAACAATATTTGCAGCACTTGACATTTGGCACTGTCTAGACAAATGAGCCTGCTTTGGACCACAACAGAAGTGTACAGGACTGTAGCTTAAAGCTACAATTCTGCAATAAAAGTTGGTAGAAGTTAGACTTTTTGACAGAGAGACATGCAGTGTTTCTTCTGCCAAAAATATGCTCCTATCACGTTTTTAATGTTTTATTTCATTCACTGCCAAGAATAGAGCAGGGTATGATGTGTATGTGCACAGGTATTACATCCTTAGTGGCTGCCCAGTAGTCAGAGGAGAGGCATGTTACCTGAAAGTAACAAAAGGGTACATGGTGGGGAAGGAAGGGACCTATGACATTTTTTTTTATTCTTTGCACATATAAAATAAGCCAGAAATCCAGTGTGCTCCTAACTTCCTGTTGGGACTGACAACACAGTGTCCTTCCTACATTTAATTCCCAACCATTGTTTTCAGCCCTGTC